TACGCTTCTCGACATGGTCCGGAATACTAAAGCCCGGAGAACCTTAGTGTACAGTCTCTGCTTTCCAGATTGAGAAGTCGCGGCTGCGATGGTTTGGGCACGTGTTGCGACTGTCAGGGGACGGCCAAGATTAACCTGGTGCAAATATATATGCAAGGAGCCTGTTCCAGACTCCAGCTATCTTCTGCCTCAGCTCAGACTCAGACTCTGGCACAGGATCGGGAACGTTGGAAGCTCTGTCTGACGTGTCTGCCTCCGCTACCCGAAAGGAGAAGCGGCCATGGAAGATGAAGATGAAGAAGATGAAGATGCATGAACGCATTTGGATGTCCATGCGATGGAATATGCCGAGTACCGGCTCCTGTAACATCGTCAGTAATGAGTGCGAAGTGCGAGATGAATCTGATACTGCAGGTACTCAATACCATAGAGCTGTGGCATGTCTAAATGATGCCCTCGGTAACCAGGGACAAGTTGGCGGTGAAATGAGCCGTGAAATCTGGTCTTGGAGGAATCATAGGCAAATCTAAGCCAATTTTGGTGCAATTTAAATATGTTCACATAAGCAGAAACTGTTAATTTTAATCATCGATGGGCTAGCTTATTTTATTGCCTTAATTTGGTCGACCATAACTTTGCAAAAATTGTTTTGGTCTGATCTGCTTCTGCTGAGTTCCTGTCTTTCCCGTTAAAGTTACAGTATTCATTTCCTTTGTCGAGAATCATAAGAATATGCTCTTCATGATTAGATGTCTCGGGTGAAAGAAAATCAAGTGTATTTAACCGTTTCAACCTTGAACAAATTTACGAAACAACGAACCATGGTATTAGAGAAATGATGAAAAAATATAAATAAATCCATGCTTCGGATCACTAATGACCAAGAGGATTCTAGTACCGTAATAACAGTAGGAAGTAAACTAGAATATTTTAAAAGTTTATTTTCAGTCGACTCAGCGGGATTTAAATTGTCCACCTTTTCAACCAAACGGTGACTTTAAGTAAGATATGGATTTTGTTCTTTTCTGAAGTTTCAGTTTCTGATAGAGAGTCGATCAATGGAGAGGGTCACAGGAAATAATATGAATCACTTAATTAATCTGATGAGTTAAATTACGACGAATTACAATGAGTCACTATAAATAATTAAAGATAATTTCTTGTGAATACGTAACTGAAGGTTTCAATGACAGAAACCGAAATGCAAGAAGGAAGGACAAGTCCATTATTATGCCCAGAGCTACTGTTCTGCTAAAAAGATGGGTAAGGTACAGTGCGATATCTTAGAGCCCCAGATATCTTTTCACTTGCACTTTTAGTCAGTGCATGCGAAGTTGTAATCTGAGAATGACAACTTATCGTTTTCTGCAGGTGCATGCACCAGCTGTCAAGAAACAGGCTTCACCCACTCAGATAATATAATGGCTCCTTGAGTCAAACAGGACCTTTTCATACCTCAATTGAAAGTTTTCGTCTGAGTTATAAATAGAGAACAATACTGCTCAAAAAATAATCCTCTACAGCCTTCATATAGCTGAAGATGATTATAGCAATGACGGTCGCGGTGGCAATAATGATTATGGTGATGATGAATAGGATAACGATTATGATGAGAATCACCATGATGATAAAAAATGACAATTTTTATCCTTCGATCTGAAGTAGGTCATCTGTCCAACAGCATGAGAACATAGCATTTTAAACATCAACATTACGATGGATTTCCCTGGTCATGATGACCGGAAAAATGCCATCGTGTTATTTTCTCTTCATTTATGGATGGCATCCAGCATACTTCTCGAGATCTGACTCGAGGCGAGTTCTTGGCTTTTCACTATCCTTTCAGCGAATAGATCATTAAATGATAACTTTTCTTAATGCCAAATTTTTGACAATAACTTTGTCTGCTACGAAGGATGACAACGTCGGTCAAATTTACTTTCAAGTTTTCAACTACTTTGTTCGAACAGTTGCTTTTGCATATTATAATGGACATTATGATTGCAAAAACGTTCCTCACCGGTGTAATAAGTACGATCTAAAATATTTGCAATATACTGTATCAAAACTGTTTATGGAGTAATCCTTGAAGGAACACCTTCGCTGTGAGGAACTTTCAAATCGCTTCAGAAATCAAAAAGGTTATTTAATAAGGTTAAGAACTTACAAATAATTTGCAACTAAATTTTAAAATCAAATGGACAAATAATAACGCATATCACAGGAGGTACGTTTGCCAAGCTGTTTTAGGACACAAAGCAACCGTGTTCTGCCTTGCGTATTCAAGCAACGGTGACAGATTTGCGTCCGGTTCGGCTGACAAGAATGTCATTATTTGGAATGAAAGCCATGAGGGTATTTTGCGATTCAAGTATGTAAATTATTCTACCTTAAAATATTTATATTTCTATTTCTTTACAGCCATAATGATTCCATTCAGTGCCTGGCATTCTGTTCGTCAGAAGTAATGCTGTTGAGCTGTGCAGTAGCCGAATTTGGTACAGTGAAATCGGCGTGAATCTAACAATACAGTACATCGCCTAATTTTCGGTTTCTGTAGGCATATGGACGTTGGAGCAGAAAACCGTCAGACGTCACAAAACCCAAGCCAGGATATGTTGTTGCACATGGTCTTTGGACGGCCGGTGTTTCGCGCTCGGCCTGTTCAATGGTGTCATCAGCATCAGGGACAAGGTTGGGCATTGTTGTACTGTTATTAATTATGGGCAGACATGTCTGTTGTGCAACCGGTGTTTTACCATTGTCCGGTCCATTTTCATATGACGCTGATTTTATTGCGAAGAACTGACAGTGATATAAATTGCACGTACATGACAGAAAGTACTAGGAAATAAATTCATAAATTACCTTAATAAGTAAACAGCACATACTCCACCAGAAACACCTAACCTCGATTCAGTGAGCTTATCTGTTGACTCAAAGCTTCTTTTGCATGATCGACGATGGGCCACCTGGGCAACGTTGAGCCAATCAGACATAAATGTGTTTAGAATTGCTCAATAAAACATTTTCATTTCACTGCTGTCTGCTAGAGGCAGACTGTGAACATATTAGCTTACAAGAATCGACACGGCAGCTTCTAGAAAACGTACGCGAATGAGGTATTATGAATTTCGGGTTAAGAACCGTCACTGATGTTGAGGAAATTTTTACCGTAAGTAACAGAGGGATGAAAGATGAATCTGTTTATGAAGGTGCTGCAATGCCATGGAACCATTAACTATTATGAAGGTCCGTAGGTAGCTAGGCCAAAGGGATGACTATTGCTCAGCAGCTATATGCTCGCGCCGAAACCGGTACATTGGATTTTGGTTAATGCTTACATCAGTTCCTAATGATGCTTCTACACCATCTCTAGAGAATGACAAGTCAGTCATTCAAACACATGGACTTAAGTGGCATATCAACTACACGCATATTTCACGGTCTGATGATGTGTTAAGAAATCTATGCTGCTCACTGAATGCCTATTCACACAACAGAGAAAAGCGTTGTTACTTTCATACCACGGAAGGCGTGCGTTTCTCTTAAGCATATGTCTTTGGAGTAATTGTTTCATTTCATTTAGTATGGGGAAGAAAAAAGAAAAATTGAACGAACTGCCATTTCGCCAGTTTGGTCCATGTCCTTAAATCCAAACAGGTACTGCAACTTTCGCATCGCAACGGGTTAAGATTTCAGCTCGAATTCTGTAACTGATGAAATTCTGGTCTATGATAATATTGCGCTTAAGTGATAAACCTAAAACTCTCCTCTTCAAGCTTGGCAACCGTATGGTGATTAATTCAATAACCCATTTTTTAAAAATATGCTCTGTATTCTTTGGATCAGATGGATTATTTGGACCAGTCAGTAATTGGCGATGAATCACGCCGGTCGCCAAACACCAGCCTTTCCTCACAGGTTTAGCTTACAGCCTCCCCAGCGCCTGGCATACTCCTTTCAACGTCATCACAGAGGGCGACCATGGAGCCCAGTCAGACCGTGAGGTTGTCAACGATAATCGCCAACCATCTCTAGTCGATGAGCTGAGCTACGTGCCCGGGCAACCGTTGCGAGTTTCTTACTCCATCGACGACGACGTC